GGGGGGGGGGGGGGGGGGGGGCGGTCCGCCAGCTAGTGGTTTCGTCAACAACAACAACAACAACAACAACAACAACAGCAACAACAACAACAAGAACAACAACAACAACAACAACAACAACAACAACAACAACAACAACAACAACAACAACACCAACAACAACAACAACAACAACAGCAACAACAACAACAACAATAGCAGCAGCAGCAGCAGCAGCAGCAGCAGCAACAACAATCATTATAAGACTGTTCGCTCTCACTTGCCCGTGTGTCATTCAAAACGAGATCCCCACACCCTCGATACCTGCCCTTGTCTTCGATCACACCCCCTTTAGGGGGGATTCTTTCTCTTTGCGGGGGGCGGCGGGCTTAGACTGGCGGGCAAACCTGAACGGGCGGACAATCCTTCGTGGGCGTACATGTGCCCGCCATTGGAATTGGTGCGGGCCCTGCAAAAAGAGGAGGGGGAGAACCAGGGAGAGTGGGAGGAAGGGAGGGGGAGGGACGAAGAAAGAGGGAAACCGCCAGGAGAGAAGGAGCGAAGAGGGGGACGGTTAAGAGGTAGGGAAAGAAAGAGACAGAGAGAAATTGCGGAAAACCTTCACTCAATTGCGAAGAAGTCTCAAGCGTGAGCGCCGTTCCTGAGTAAATTGTGAGGAAGTCTCAGATGGGAGCGGGGGTCCTGACTAAATTGGGAGGAAGTCACAGGCGGGAGCACCGATCCCGAGAACAAAATGTGAGGAAGTCTCAGGAGCGGGGGTCCTGAGCAAATTTGGAGGAAGTCTGTCGGGAGCCGTTGTTGTTGTAATCCGGGGGGCCAGGAGCCCAGTTTGAGCACGAAGACTTGCACTGTCAAAAAACAGGGTGCGAGCGTCGAGGGCCACACTTCGATTGAGAAAAAACAGCATGCACCGGTGAGGGGGGATCAACAATAATTATTCTTTAGAAATGAGAGTTCAACAACAACAACAACAACAACAACAACAACAACAACAACAACAGCAACAACAACAACGACGACAACAACCGCAACAACAGCAACAACAGCAACAGCAGCAACAGCAACAAACAAATTCACGAAAGCGGAAGCAGGCCGAAGGCCTCACATTAGAGGCCTCCCAGGGTCTGCGCAGCATCACGCTGATAGTACGAACCTCACTGCGCAGACCTGCAGGAAGAAGCCCTTTCAGATACATGAATGATCCAACATCGGCATTGCCCAGCGCAGGAAGAGCAGGTCGCACGGGCAAACGACGAGAGGCATGCGATCCCTTAATTGTCAGAACCCATATCCCCACTTCTGTTCACGCGGCTGCGAAGATCTCCCTGAGCATCCGCACCACCATGAGCGTAACGAACATCACCAGGTACGTCACCGGCTGACCGACGATCGGGAGCCGCAGAGACTCCCGTGGCTCCCGCACCACCAATAACGTCACGAGCATCACTGGGAACGCCATCATCGGGCTCACGAGCGAGGGCGCCTGAAACTCTGAGCATCCGCACCACCATGAACGTTACGAGCCTCACAAGGTACGCACTCCATCGGCAGGCCGACGTGGAGGACGATGCTGATGACGATGACGATGACGACGGCGATGAGGATGACGATGATAATGATGATGATGACAATGATGATGATGATGATGATGATGAGGATGATGATGATGATGACGATGATGATGCTGATGATGATGATGATGACGATGATGATGATGCTGCTGATGATGATGATGGTGTGATGATGCTGATGATGATGATGGTTTGATGGTGATGCTGATGACGATGATGATGATGCTGATGATGGTTATGGTGATGAATATGATGTTGACGATGATGATGATGATGATGATGATTCTCCCGCTCGCGCGCTAGCGAGCTGTCTCCGAGCGCGGCCGCGGCTCGATGATGATGATGATGATGATGATGATGATGATGATGATGATGATGATGGTGATGGTGATGGTGATGGTGATGGTGATGGTGATGATGCTGATTATGATGATGATGATGATCTAATAAATGGTGGTGATGGTGGTGATGATGATGACGATAGTGGTGATGGTGGTGATGAGGATGAGGAGGGTGACCAGATTAGATCACAACCCGTGGAATCCACTCGGGGCAACCCGCTTCGCGAGCTGGAGACCTGCAGGGTTCTGGGGGAGGGGGGGGGGGGGCGAATGCACAATCATCTGCTCGAAATGAAGTGCGAGCGGAGACGGTCACGCTGCGCTCAGGGGCAACACTGGCCCTTGGCGCATGGGACCCTGAGGCACACAGCCCGGAAACTTGTCCTCGACTCTCAAGCGTCAGGATCCTCTTTCCTCCCCCGACCAGCACGCGTCCCACGACTCCCCGCCCGACCCTTCCCTGTGGCTGGCTGCTACCTGAGCAGCAAGGCAACAAGCATTGCTGCCATGCCCTGAGATTCACGTCCCTGGTACCTCCGCACGCGCTATCAAAGCCTTCCTGTGAGATCCTTCCTCTCGACAGGAAGC